GTGTTAAATTGGGCCCCTATAACTTGTGTTTGATGACTTAACTGGAGATGATCTTTATTATACTGTAGATCCCCTCTCTGCCAATCCCTCCACTGGCTTCCCGTTGCCCAATGGATAAAATTCAAAACATTAACATTATAAAGCCATTTATAACTCTGCCCCAAATTACATCACCGATCTTGTCTCCAAATATCACCCAAACCATACTCTCCGCTCCTCGCAAGACCTCCTGCTCTCTAGCTCCCTTGTCTCCTCCTTCTATGCTCGTATCCAGCACTTCTCCAGAGCTTCCCCCATCCTCTGGAATTCTCTACCCCAATTTATCAGACTATCGCCTACTCTGCTCACTTTTAGGCGATCTCTGAAAACCTATCTCTTCAGGGAAGCCTATCCTGCCATCAGCTAACAATGGAATCTTCTACTCTTCCTACCAGTCCATCCTCCACAGTTACTACCTTTTGTACCACTAGCCCCTCCCTCCTAGATTGTAAACTCCGAGGAGCAGGGCCCTCCTATCCTTCTTGTATTGAACTGTATTGTTGCTGCATTGTCTCCCATTATATTGTAAAGCGCTGAGCAAACTGTTGGCACTATACAAATCCTGTATAATAATAATAATCTTTATTGAACATGCCCATGTGACACCTGTATCATTTTTCATGTACTGATGACGTTGTTGTTTACTTGTACATTATGTTGACATGGAAAAACTGAAAAATATAAAGAATTTAAAAAAAACTAATTCAGTTGAATTTTTCTTTGAATTTATGACCCTTTTATGGCACATCTTCCCCAGTCTTCTCGACATTCAAAAAAGAGATTAATCACTTTTTTTCATGAGACAATGAAAATGTAGACGTCTTCTCCAAAGCAATGAGAGGGGATGAGCAATAGAAGGCTACAAATTCATAAATGTCATATAATGCTGAATAATGGCTTATCATCCCAGCATTCACATCCGGCAAGCCAAGTGGACAGGCAATTAAATTTTATGCCGGGGCCTTAGAGAGGGCTTAGATCTCTTCATGGAATGTTCAAAGATAATCAGCTTGTCCTGTAGACTCCGGACTTTTTTTTTTAACCTCGGAGGCAAAGCAAGATAAAGTGGCTAGACCAGGTTTACAATCACAGTCAAGCCACTTTGTCAGGCCCAAAATAATAAAGCACACTTCTTTATTGCGCTTAGTTAATCCATTGCATTCATTAGTGGTGCGTGTTGTGACCGGAGAGGTCATTAAAGGGTTTTAAACAAAATTAGATATATTCTTGCAAGTCAAGTGTATAAATAGCTGTTAGCAAGATGGAAGGATTCCAGCCTGTAGGTTAGTGTCTTGCTTCGATTCCCAGTACTTGTATCATGGAAAAGATTGCAATGTTTTATAACGCTGCACTTACGGCTCCAATATACAACTTTCAGAGACCGCCATTTAAGAGGACATTAAAGTCATAAAAAAAAACAATTATTTTGAAATTGCTAAGTAGTAAAGCTGAATTTCTTCCATATGCTGCGTGATGATTGGAGTACAGAGAAAATACTGTAGTTTTCACTGTTACTAACTAGATGGTGGTGTTACCACTACAGCCCCTGGGTTGTTTTGCCCTAATATATAAATACTGTATAATAATAATATAGAGTGATATGAAGAGCAATGTACATAATTAGAAAATCTCCATTAACATAACACATTGGCGTTCTAAGATGTGCCAGCAGAACATTATTACATGCAATAATATTTTATATTCCATATGTAAAAGAGCAAAGAAAACTTATCACTAAGTTAAAATAATTAAACTTATCTGTGCCAAAATAAATAAAACTCGTAGATGGAGGCACTGGATTGCAGCTGGAAGTCCAAAAACCAACGCAAGCATTTAAAACGTGCCAATGCAATAAATTGAAATAGTCAGTTGTGACTGCTTCCAGGCAAATGCACAGTTTTTCCCAACATGATTCCTTCCAGGCAGATGCATATCCTAATGTTATGCCTTCCAGGCAGAAGACTGTCTTAGCTCAGTGCCTAGCAGGTGGATATACACTGATTTATACACAGCCATAACATTATGACCACTGACAGGTAGAGTGAATAACATTGATTATCTTGTGACAATGGCATCTGAAAGTGGGTGGGATTTACACTGCTCAAAAAAATTAAAGGAACACTTTTTAATTACAGTACAGCATCAAGTCGGTTAAACTTCTGGGATATTGATCTGGTCAGTTAAGTAGCAGAGGAGGTTGTTAATCAGTTTCAGCTGCTTTTGCATTAATGAAATTAACAACATCTGCAGTAGATGGGCAATAATGAGACAACCCCCAAAACAGGAATGGTTTTACAGGTGGAGGCCACTGACATTTTTTCACTGCCCGGCACCATAGAGCTCGATTGGCATTTGCCATTGAACACCAGAATTGGCAGGTCCACCACTGGTGCCCTGTGCTGTTCACAGATGAGCGCAGGTTCACCCTGAGCACATGTGACAGAGGTGAAAGTGTCAAGAGAAGCCGTGGAGAACATTATGCTGTCTGTAACATCATTTAGCATGATCGTTTTGGTGGTCGGTCAGTGATGGTCTGCGGAGGCATATCCATGGAGAGACGCACAGACCTCTACAGGCTAGACTATGGCACCCTGACTGCCATTAGGTATCAGGATGAAATCCTTGGACCCATTGTCAGGCCCTACACTGGTGCAGTGGGTCCTGGGTTCCTCCTGGTGAATGACAATGCCCGGACTCATGTGGCGAGAGTATGCAGGTAGTTCCTGGAGGATGAAGGTATTGAAACCATTGAATGGCCCCCACACTTGCCTGACCTAAATCCAATAGAACACCTCTGAGATATCATGTTTTGGTCCATCCAACACCACCAGGTTGCACCTCAGAGTGTCCAGGAGCTCAGTGATGCTCTGGTCCAGATCTGGGAGGAAATACCCCAGAACACCATCCATCATCTCATTAGGAGCATTCCCCGAAGTTGTCAGGCATGCATACAAGCACGTGGGGGCCATACAAACTACTGAGTACCATTTTGAGTTGCTGCAATAAAATTTCAGCAAAATGGACTAGCCTGCTGCATAATTTTTTCACTTTGATTTTCGGGGTGTCTTTGAATTCAGTCCTCTGTAGATTGGTCATTTTCATTTCCATCAAACGATGGCGCACCCTTACGTTCCTATCAGTATAGATATCAAGCATGAGATTTATCCCCATTGAGATCTGATGTATTTTTAAAGTGTGCCTTTACTTTTTTGAGCAGTATATATGAGAGCTGTTGTCTTGGTTAAATAAAGACAACAGTATAAAAAAACACTAACATGTACATTAATCTCAAGGTTTTAGAGGAACACTGCAGGCAGTGAGTAGTATTCCAGTAGAGAAGTGTGGCAGTGTGACAGTGTCAGTGGGTACAGGAGAGGAGAGTGGAGGCTATGACAGTGATCAGTATAACAGGAGAGGAGTGTGGAGAGTATCACAGTGATCAGTTTAACAGGAGAGGAGTGTGGAGGGTATGGCGGTGATCAGTATGTACAGAGGAGGAGTATGGAGGGTATGACAGTGATCAGTATAACAGGAGAGGAGTGTGAAGAGTATCACAGTGATCAGTTTAACAGGAGAGGAGTGTGGAGGGTATGACAGTGATCGGTATAACAGGAGAAGAGTATGACAGTGGGAAGAAGGTACAGGAGTGGAGTGTGAAGGGTATGACAGTGGGCAGAAGGTACAGGAAAGGAGTGTAGAGGGTATGGCAGTGATCAGTATAACAGGAGAGGAGTGTGGAGAGTATTACAGTAATCAGTGTGTACATGAGAGGAGTGTGGAGGGTATAACAGTGATCAGTATAACAGGAGAGGAGTGTGGAGAGTATTACAGTAATCAGTGTGTACAGGAGAGGAGTGTGGAGGGTATAACAGTGATCAGTATAACAGGAGAGGAGTGTTGAGGGTATGGCAGTAGGCAGAAGCTACAGGAGAGGAGGAGTGTGAAGGGTATGACAGTGATCAGTATGTACAGGAGAGGAGTGTGGAGGGTATGACAGTTATCAGTATGTACAGGAGAGGGGTGTGAAGGATATCACAGTGATCAGTATGTACTGGAGAGAAGTGTGGCGGTATGACAGTGGGCAGTAAGTACAGGAGAGGAGTGTGGAGGGTATGACAGTGGACAGTATGCACAGGAGAGGAGTGTGGAGGGTATGACAGTGATCAGTATGTACAGGAGAGGAGTGTGGAGGGTATGACAGTAGACAGTATGCACAGGAGAGGAGTGTGGAGGGTATGACAGTGATCAGTATAACAGGAGAGGAGTGTGAAGAGTATCACAGTGATCAGTTTAACAGGAGAGGAGTGTGGAGGGTATGACAGTGATCGGTATAACAGGAGAAGAGTATGACAGTGGGAAGAAGGTACAGGAGTGGAGTGTGAAGGGTATGACAGTGGGCAGAAGGTACAGGAAAGGAGTGTAGAGGGTATGGCAGTGATCAGTATAACAGGAGAGGAGTGTGGAGGGTATGACAGTAGACAGTATGCACAGGAGAGGAGTGTGGAGGGTATGACAGTGATCAGTATGTACAGGAGAGGAGTGTGGAGGGTATGACAGTGATCAGTATGTACAGGAAAAGAGTGTGGAGGATATGACAGTAGGCAGTATGTACAGGAGAGGAGTGTGGAGGGTATGACAGTGGACAGTATGTACAGGAGAGGAGTGTGGAGGGTATGACAGTGGGCAGTAAGTGCAGGAGAGGAGTGTGGAGGGTATGACAGTGGGCGGTATGTACGGGAGAGGAGTGTGGAGGGTATGACAGTGGGTAGTATGTGCAGGAGAGGAGTGTGAAGGGTATGACAGTAGGCAGTATGTACAGGAGAGGAGTGTGGAGGGTATGACAGTGGGCGGTATGTACGGGAGAGGAGTGTGGAGGGTATGACAGTGGGTAGTATGTGCAGGAGAGGAGTGTGAAGGGTATGACAGTGGGCAGTATGTACAGGAGAGGAGTGTGGAGGGTATGACAGTGGGCAGTATGTACAGGAGAGGAGTGTGGAGGGTATGACAGTGGGCAGTATGTACAGGAGAGAAATGTGGAGGGTATGACAGTGGGCAGTATGTACAGGAGAGGAGTGTGAAGGGTATGACAGTGGGCAGTATGTACAGGAGAGAAATGTGGAGGGTATGACAGTGGGCAGTATGTACAGGAGAGGAGTGTGAAGGGTATGACAGTGGGCAGTATGTACAGGAGAGGAGTGTGGAGGGTATGACAGTGGGCAGTATGTATGGGAGAGAAGTATGCAGCATATGACAGCAAGCCATATGTGTGGGGAAGCAGTGTGCTGGGCAATTAATGCAGGAACATGGAGGACTGTATAGTTTGTATGGACAGAAGAGGAATGAGTAGTGTATGACAGTGAGCACTATGTGTAAGAGAGTAGTATGGAGGGCATGGTGGTATGTGCAGGCAAGGAAGGCGGAGAGTATGCTGGTGGGTATTTAGTGCAGGAGTGGAGGGAATGATGGCCGGCTGGGCAGGAGATAAGTGTGGAATGTATGACAGTGTTTCATGTGCAGGAGAGCAGAACAGAAAACTAATGCAGCCATCACATGACTGATTATTGATGGCACACCATGCAGTAGTTTGGTGTGGCATGTTGTTGGAAAAGATTCAGTGGCTTTTTTCTGTGTTGCTCACGCATAGGGCCTCCCATTGACGCATGAAAAGCGCGCTTGCACTTGGTTGCACCTGTATGTGTGAGCCAAGCCTAACTGTGAGCAGCTGCAAAATAAGAATCCTCAATAAGAACACATTGTTTTCTGAACAATCAACGTACATAAAGTTGTGCTCCCATGCAAACAGCTTTTACTTGTTAGTTTATGTGCTCAGTTTACAATCTTCATTCTTCATCGTTTGGATAACACAGGATTAAATGGCATGGCCATAAATGAACTTCACAATATCTGGACATACAGAGTACCTGGGATGCCTATATAGCCTCAATGGGGCTAATTTACTAAAGGCAATTAGATTGTGTACTCTGCAAGTGCAGTTGCTCCAGAGCTTAGTAAACAAGCAGAAGTTCTGTTGACTTCCATCATCCAATCATGTGCAAGCAAAATTGCTGTTATTTTTTATTTTCCTTGCATGTGATTGGTTATTCTTGGCAAAGTGAAGCTTCACCTCATTTACTAACCTCTAGAGCAGTGTTTCTCAACTCCAGTCCTCATGGACCCCCAACAGGTCATGTTTTCAGGATTTCCCTCAGATGAAACAGCTGTGTGGTAATTACTAAGGCAGTGAAACTGATCAAATCACCTGTGCAAAATAATGGAAATCCTGAAAACATGACCTGTTGGGGGTCCATGAGGACTGGAGTTGAGAAACACTGCTCTAGAGCAGTGGTCTTCAAACTGAGGCCTGGGGGCCAGATACAGCCCTTTGCTTGCCTTTAAATGGCCCTTGAGGCATTATTCCTGCCACTGACGCCAACAATGAGACATAATTCCTGCCACTGACACCAACAATGGGGCACTTTTTCTTCCACTGACACCAACGATGGGGTATAATTCCTTCCAATGACACCTACAATGAGGCATAATTCCTTCCACTGACACCAACGATGGGGAATGATTCCTACCACTGACACCAACAATAGGGCACTATTTCTTCCACTGACACCAGCAATGGGGTATAATTCCTTCCAATGATACCAAAATGAAGCATAATTCCTTGCACCGACACCAACAATGGGGTATAATTCCTTCCACTGACACCAATGATGGGGTATGATTTCTTCCACTGACACCAACAATGGGGCATAATTCCTTCCAATTACACCAACAATGAGGCATAATTCCTTCCACTGACACCAACGACGGAGTATAATTCCTTCCACTGACACCAATGATGGGGGTATGATTTCTTCCACTGACACCAACGATGGGGCATAATTCCTTCCAATGAGACCAACATTGAGGCATAATTCCTTCCACTGACACCAACGATGGAGTATGATTCCTTCCACTGACACCAACAATGGGGCATTAGTTCTTCCACTGATACCAACGATGGGGTATGATTCCTTCCAATGACACAAACGAGGCATAATTCCTTCCACTGACACCAGCGATGGGGTATGATTTCTTCCACTGACACCAACGATGGGGAAGACTTTCTCTCACTGACACCAACTATTTCTTCCCCTGGGAACAGTCCGCCCCCCCTAAAGTCTGAAGGAGAATAAACTGGCTCTTTGTTTGATAAAGTTTGGAGACCCCTGCTCTAGAGCAACTGCACTTGCAGAGTGCACAGCCTAATTGCCTTTAGTAAACCAACCCAATGTAAAATAATTTGTGTCTGCGGGGGGAGGAAGAGGGGGGCTGCACACACTCACCTTCTTCTCCGACCCTCCCTGTCACCCTTCTCATGTCCTGAAAGAAAATCCTCCTGTGTTCTGACCTGACAGACTGCCAGCTTTTAGAACATCAGCTCAGCTCACCACCCTGCAATCAGCAGCGGCCAGCAGTAACTCTGCTCTGGGCTCCTTTTGCATTGGTGATTAGAAAGGGGGGGGGGGTCAAAGTGAAGGAAGGCACAGCGTGAGCATGTAGGAGACAGCTTGGGGAGACAGAAAGGAGATTCAGAGCTTCAAATACATTCACCATCGGCGGTGTTTATATTTAGAAACAATGACAGAGCAGTTGCCATCAAGCACAACTCAGTTTCCAGGACAAAGCCCGGGACAGACTCTAGCGGGACACCTTACTAAAAATCGTGACTGTCCCTGGTAATCCATGACAGTTGGCAACTCTGCATGCTGAACATAAGCAGTAACCACTGCCGAGTCCTGACTTCATTTATATATATACTGGTTAGAGGCATGGGGACTCCATATACTGTATGCATACATTTCACATAAAGGACTTTTGTATTCCTGCAGTGGCAATACGATATGCAATGTGGATGGTTTAGATAAAAATAGTGCTTAGCTGATTTTTTTTCTTTAAAATGTGCTGGGCTCGCTGTTTTTATAAACACTGGTATGGGCCTCTTGTTTCACATGCTGTCACAATAGAAACAACTGATAACAGCAATAAAAAAGTAAATGAATATTTCTTTAAAGTGAATGTCCATGAATTCCTCAAATTGACTTTACTCCTATAGAGCATGACCCACTATTTATATTTTATGTTTTCTTCTGTCTTCCTTTTTGTGAAAAACAAATTTAGGCTCCATGCTCCTAGAAGCTGTTATTACCATTTTATTCTGGTCCTAGTGTTACCCTGCTTTAGGCTCCATGCTCCTAGAAGCTGTTATTACCATTTTATTCTGGTCCTAGTGTTACCCTACTTTAGGCTCCATGCTCCTAGAAGCCGTTATTACCGTTTTATTCTGGTCCTAGTGTTACCCTGCTTTAGGCTCCATGCTCCTAGCAGATGTTATTACCGTTTTATTCTGCTCCTAGCGTTACCCTGCTTTAGGCTCCATGCTTAGAAGCTGTTATTACCGTTTTATTCTGCTCCTAGCGTTACCCTACTTTAGGCTCCATGCTCCTAGAAGCCGTTATTACCATTTTATTCTGCTCCTAGCGTTACCCTACTTTAGGCTCCATGCTCCTAGAAGCCGTTATTACCATTTTATTCTGCTCCTAGCGTTACCCTACTTTAGGCTCCATGCTCCTAGAAGCCGTTATTACCATTTTATTCTGCTCCTAGCGTTACCCTACTTTAGGCTCCATGCTCCTAGCAGCTGTCATTACCATTTTATTTCTGCTCCTAGCGTTACCCTACTTTAGGCTCCATGCTCCTAGCAGCTGTCATTACCATTTTATTCTGCTCCTAGCGTTACCCTACTTTAGGCTCCATGCTCCTAGAAGCTGTCATTACCATTTTATTCTGCTCCTAGCGTTACCCTACTTTAGGCTCCATGCTCCTAGAAGCTGTCATTACCATTTTATTCTGCTCCTAGCATTACCCTACTTTAGGCTCCATGCTCCTAGCAGCTGTTATTACCATTTTATTCTGCTCCTAGCGTTACCCTACTTTAGGCTCCATGCTCCTAGCAGCTGTCATTACCATTTTATTCTGCTCCTAGCGTTACCCTACTTTAGGCTCCATGCTCCTAGCAGCTGTCATTACCATTTTATTCTGCTCCTAGCGTTACCCTACTTTAGGCTCCATGCTCCTAGCAGCTGTCATTACCATTTTATTCTGCTCCTAGCGTTACCCTACTTTAGGCTCCATGCTCCTAGCAGCTGTCATTACCATTTTATTCTGCTCCTAGCGTTACCCTACTTTAGGCTCCATGCTCCTAGCAGCTGTCATTACCATTTTATTCTGCTCCTAGCGTTACCCTACTTTAGGCTCCATGCTCCTAGAAGCCGTTATTACCATTTTATTCTGCTCCTAGCGTTACCCTACTTTAGGCTCCATGCCCCTAGAAGCCGTTATTACCATTTTATTCTGCTCCTAGCGTTACCCTACTTTAGGCTCCATGCTCCTAGCGTTACCCTACTTTAGGCTCCATGCTCCTAGAAGCCGTTATTACCATTTATTCTACTCCTAGTGTTACCCTACTTTAGGCTCCATGCTCCTAGAAGCCGTTATTACCATTTATTCTACTCCTAGTGTTACCCTCCCTTAGGCTCCATGCTCCTAGAAGCCGTTATTACCATTTTATTCTACTCCTAGTGTTACCCTACTTTAGGCTCCATGCTCCTAGAAGCCGTTATTACCATTTATTCTACTCCTAGCGTTACCCTACTTTAGGCTCCATGCTCCTAGAAGCCGTTATTACCATTTATTCTACTCCTAGTATTACCCTCCCTTAGGCTCCATGCTCCTAGAAGCCGTTATTACCATTTTATTCTACTCCTAGTGTTACCCTACTTTAGGCTATTAGCGTTTTGTAGAGTTTTATGGACTGTTTTTCCAGCAGAAAAACTATTCCTAACGCTCCTAACAGCTTTTTTCTAGCATTTTCCCCCTACATGTACTGTACAAATGCTGATGCTTCTAAAAGCTTCTAAACATTACTAAAAAACAATATTACCAGCTTTTTTGTCCAGTGTTTTTGAGTTTAAAAAAGCAAAATTTAGTTTGCTCTAAATAGTTTGTAAAGAATCTGTTAATGATAACAAGAAAAGCAGTAAAATAGACTCCCCGCAGACAGAAACAATAGATCCCACCAGCAACAATAGACCCCACCCCAGCAACAATAGATCCCCCACACAACAACAGACTCCACCTGCAACAATAGACCCCACCCAAGCAACAATAGGTCCCCCCAACAACAGACAACACTCCAGCAACAATAGATCCACTTCAGCAACAATAGACCCCACACCAGCAACAATAGATCCCCCACACAACAACAATGGACTACCCACAACAAAACATCACTCTCAGCAACAAAAGATCTACCCCAACATCATTAGGCCCCCCAACAGCAATAACAGATCTCCCAGCAGCCAGCAACTTATTTCTCAACAGTAGATTCCTACTAGAAATATAAGACCCCCAGCAAAAAATAGATCCCCCACCAGCAAAAATAGACCCTAAGGCCTCTTTCACATGGACTTT